CAACAACAACAACAACAACAACAACAACAACAACAACAACAACAACAACAACAGACATCAAATACATGAATTCATTCTTCTCTCTGCCACCAAACACAGCCAATAATCACAGAACAGTATAATACTATTATTAATAGTATTAGTTTCTGTATCAAGGATCCTACTATACAAAGACTTCAGACAAATTACACAAAGTAATAGCTCACTTATCAATCTTCCCGACATCCACTTATCGGCGATAGAGTGGTCATGTTACATGATTCCTTCGATCATAATCGAACAAGTTGGTGGACGTGGGGTGGGGAAAAATAGGAAGTTTGCCGGTTGTTTTGAAGTTAGTTGTTTATCATGATACGTGATTTGCTCCTTATTTAAGATTTATTTGGTTTTAAAAAACAGGCGACTACCTTTTGGCAGTGCGTGACTGTGAAAATGTGAGGTGTGTCTTTATAACAATGGTTTCATTTAGTGTGTTACGGTACTTGCAACACAATAAGGTCATAGAAGTGCTGAAGATTAGAGGTGTTACAAGAGAGTAACAAACATAAAAAAGAAGGAGGGGGGGGGGATAAAGACGTTAGATGTTTCATGGGAAAGGAAAGGCTGGTCACACCAGAGCACCCGCCAACCACCCACTTTATAACAATCTTCCCTAACACAAGTTGAAAGCAGAAGAATTTACAAAGTGACTGAGTGAGTCGACGACGACACGCTCGAAGAAATCAGTGAGGTAGATCTATATTGTATACTATACACATATTATGACATCAGAATATTGAGCAGTATATGATGATAATGGGTAATATAATATTTAAGACTTCTTTAAAACAAAAACGCCAGAGTTGAATCATAAGTGTGAAACAAAATGTGATAAATAATATGAGGAAAATATTGAGGAAAGTCACCATACCTTCGTCGTGCCGAGACCAAACCCTTTTCAGCTACACGGTCTGTGTGTGCGGACAATAGTGTGTATGTTCTGCCTGTCTCTATTTTTACCCGGCGACACAGGGGTAGAACCGGTCTGGTGGGTCCCCGCGCTCTACCTGGGCCCGCTACTACGGCGGCCGCTCTTTAGTACCGTGCGAACGCTTTGCTGATTTAGCGCTGTCCTTGTGGCAGAATTACATTTTAATTGTCATTGTTATACATTATTTATAATGAGGGGGCTCTCGTGGCCTAGAGGTTAAGGTGTTCGCCTCTCATTCAAAGGTCCCGGGTTCGAATCCCGAGTAGCGACCGAAAAAAAATTCTCCTTTCAAATTGTCTCCTTTCACTTCCTTTCTTGCTCTCTAACAATGTTCTGTCGTCTGATTTCGTCTCC